AGAGACAGAGAGAGAGAGAGACTGTAAAATGATAGTTTGTTTCTGCTATTATATGTTTGTTGTGCTGTTTTGTATAGACCTCACCAACAGAGGCTTTTCACGACGGTCCTATGTTTTTATGCAGGTTGGACAAGCTCATCCATGAACCCGTAGAAGGCAATGCATGGCATGCAGACCATATTGTTCCAGTCTACAAAGGGGGTGGTGAGTTTGTGAGCACATCCCGTATGGATCTTGACTAGTTCACAATCTGAGTTATTTTTATGAGAACTTATTCGAAACCTAAGTTACATTAGATGGAACTAATGTTCGTTTTTTGGGACATGCCTCCCTCCCTATTTCTTTATTTTAGCTCTGTCTCTCTCTTTCTATCTCTCCTTTTATGTACATGTCGCCCCCTTTGGGGTTTGATGTCTGTATTACTGTTTAATAAAATTGTGGTGCATCAGAATAATAAAATGAAAAGAAAAAAATCTTTACGAGATCCATGTTACTTGTCAATAAGAAACAACTTGAAGACCTAGCTCTAATTCTACTTAATTGTTAACTCTTACCTGACTATCATTCAGGGGAATGCACCTTAGAGAACATGAGGACATTATGTGTTGCTTGCCATTCTGAAGTTACAGCTGCTCAAAGAGATGAAAGATGCATGTTGAGAACCAAGGCTAAAGAGCAACTCAGGGTCTTAATACTGGAGCTTAAAGATGGAGCCAACGAGGAGCCACTCAAGTTAATGGTAATTTTAGTTCTTGCACCAAGTTAAATCATACTCGTACTGCACGAAAAAGGTTACTGTGTTCTCCATTTGCCTGCTATATAAACTTTAACTGGAACCACCAATTTCGTGGAACGAATGCTCGTCTGTTTCCCTTAAAAAACATAGTGAAATTTAATTAGGACAAGGAAGAAAAAAATAATACAAAGAAATTCTTTGTTCTCTCTCTTGGAAAACATGAAACATTTGTCAAAAGATATATGCTCCTGCGGGGGCATATCGTCCAATGACTCTCTTGGCTAAAGCCCTATCCAAGAGTGATTTTGGGATCCTAAATTTTGGGTATGTAACCTCCTCAACCTATGCACACTTAAAAAAAGAAATTCTATGCACACTATGTGCCTATAAAATAATACGTCTCAAGATACTCTTTTGGACAATCATATCTAACTGTTTTACGAACTCAATATTGTTTTTATTATTGAAAATACTCATTTGGTGATTCTAAAGTGATCTCAAAGTTTCGGGTTGGAAAATCCTCCAAAGTAGCTCTTGTGCCCAACGGAGTAAGTGTACATTGTGCTCCCATGGGAGTGTGGTATATGTGGCCGATAGTTTAGGTAGTGATCATGAGTATTTGTTATGCAGGAAAGAGTGCTATTGGAGGAGCAAAATTGTGAAGATGATGAGCTGTTGGTTGATGTTCCTGGGAGCTCATATTCCATAACAACAAAGCATGATACAGATGTCACATGAAAATACCCCGCCTAAAATATATTTTTTGATATGGAAAATCTTTTCTCGGCTATAATGGAGGCCAATATAAGAGGGGTAAAGCTCCCTGCTCCCCTCTTATTTTCCTCTTTTCTTTTTTTTTGGTCCCCTATTCCGAGTAGGGGAGGGGGGTGGGGGTAAGAAGTAGGGGGTTATAGGGTAGTGTAATTTTAAATGCAGCCTCTTGATTTAAGTGCTTCTTCTCAATTTTGAATGCAGCCTCTTGATTCAAGTGTATTATTGTTATTATTTTTTGACAGGAGGTCCTTAATGTATGTGTAACAAGTGGGTTATTATGGCTTTCATAAACATTAACAAAGGCCAAGAAATTCTTTTTGGAAAATATACATTTTCATGTTACAGCGTGGGAATTCACCTCCCTTGAGGTTTAATCGCATGGTGTGCGTGGTATTGGGTTATTTGAACCTCTGAAACTTATGTAGATGTGCGCATGAAGAAAATATACATGTGCATATAAATTTCTAATTTTAGATGGGTTTTGTTCAGCGGCTTATTGCATTCTATCCAATAGTTTTGGACCCGTAGTAAGTTAATAGCAACGTTTAAAAAGCGAATTGGTGATCCAGATCGCCCATCTTGAAAATCAGTTCCGATCTGCAAATTGACATTTTGGATTGATGAAACGGCTGGATTTGGCCTTGTTTTTTTAAAAAAGATATAAAAATATTGTAAGCATTTTTTTTTGAGTTTTCAACAAAATGGAATTTGTACATTATGGACTTTTTGTATTATACAAAAATATATGCATATTAAGATGTTTATTGTCTATTGATATTAACTTTAATATGGAAATGGTTAATAGTATCTCGGGTTATTAATCAAGGCTAAAGTAAAAATCTTTATTGGAGAAAAGATTATTTACCACAATGATTTTCAACAAATAGTAAAAATACAATTTCATTCTTTTATCAACACCTATTCCACTCCACTAATAACAAAAAGAGGCCTTACACAAAAAGTTTTCATATTAGAAACTGACCTTAGGGCTTCGTTTGCACGTACTTGTTATCACAGTAATTCACTATTTCAATAAAATTAGTCCTGATAATATATTTTGCTGAAAGATTTTCTACTCCTACAGGATTATACTATATTTTCCTGGGGAAAATTTTTGAGGATTTAACCTAAAAAAAATTTAAGTGCCTAAAAAATGGAATCCCAAGATTGCATTAAAACCATCCAATTTTTTTCTTTGAAAATTTATATTTCAATGGATCTCAACATTTCAAATAACAAAAGAATGTTCAAATGCATAGTATACTCCCACAGGCGAACTATACACTCATAAATATGTTTCTTGGTAGTGTCCCTCACAAAATCATGTGATATAAATTTATGAGCAGTTTTGCATCTTAAGTTCATCTTTATGAAAGGCATGTTTTACTGTATTTAAAATAATTTGTTAAAAATAACATGTTTTAGCTAGAGAATTAAACATAGCCGAAGATCTGCAAAAAGATAAATAAATAACACTATATACAATACAACGCATGTACCAAAGAGTGAACGAAATAACTTTATACGATGTACATTAATTTCAAATAAAATGGTCTACTTCTGAGAAGAATAACTGTAATCCGAATACACCCTTAATTGTCCCATGATCTCATAGAATACAATGCCCTTCTATATACAGGTGCATCCTTCATGTAAAGCTATGCTCAATTTAAACATTGGATAAACATATTGCCTATATACTAGTTTTTCTATATTCCCAATAAGGCTCCTCTAATCAAGGCAAAACAACTTTCACTCCATTTTCAAGCCCTATCGCAGTCTTCAGGATTGTGCATTACTCTTGTCAGAGGATTCTTCTTCTACCAACTTGAAATCTAGGCCTTCAATTCTCATTGTGCCAATGTTCACTGAAATTATGACATGTTAGAGTCAAGGATTAGCCACAAGAAGAAAAAGACCTCCAATATTTGTACATGACTCTCTCTCTCTCACACACACACACTCAATATCTCCCTCTCTGTCTCACACATATACAAACAGAAATACTCTCTCACACACGCATCAAGGGAATTGAGACCTTACCAACAGCATCAAGTCCAACCAACTTGGGCATAAACTTTTTGATATGATCCTCCGCTGCCTCATCAGACTTCAATGTTTCACAGTCGAAATATACTGAAATCTCATCTTTCTCTTCTTTCTTCTCAACTATACCAATCACATCCTCTTCCCAACTACAAACAAGAAAAGGATTTGTCACTCTGTCTCTCCCCAACAACAAAGGAGTGAACCAAAATCTCATCTACTCCTATACCAATCACATACTCTTCCCAACCACAAACAAGAAAAATAATTTTTCTACTCTCTCTCCCTCTCTCAACAAAAAAGTCAACAAAAATCTCATCTTTTTTCTCTTGTTTCTCCTCTACCATACCAATCACATTCTCTTCCCAACTACAGCAAGAAAATGATTACTACTCTCTCTCTCTCACGCTCTATCTCAACAAATAAGTCAGAAAGCCAATCAAATCTCTAGTATAGCATTTGCTTGACTAGGAAAACCTCTGACTTTTACCTTTAAAAGTATCGAGACAAGTTTACAAAGTCAAAAAGGTCAGATATTGCAAAAATTCATGGTTACAGGAAGAAGAATCACCCGTGCGCGTGATCAACATTACGGAAACGAGCAGCATCATGCCCTCGGCACTCTACTATAACCTCTTTCTCTTTCTTGGTCTGAAAAAAAAAAACCAATAGTCCACTGTTTTTGTTTTATAATTAACCTTAATCCAATAATCTAAGTAAACTAAGAAGACGGACTGCCACAACATGGAATTGGGAAACCATACCAATATGGAGTCATGAAAAAGTGGATGGACAATAAAAAAGCTAGCATTGAGATCATCAGAAATCCAGTAATTTATTTTAATATTGTTGGAAATTTCGTGATTTTTCTTTAGAAGAAGCTTTACAAAGCTTACAAGGTAATCAGAGAATGTAAGCTTGATTAAGCGATAATCCTCGCCTCTGCTGCACTCCCTTTCGCATGCCAATTCTATAAAAGTCAAAATAAGAAGATCAAGAACAGGATGTTTAACAAGAAGAAGAACAAGAACAAGAAGAATAGGGACGACACAACTTACTGAAACATTAACATAAACCAGATGCTCCATGTGGGATTTTTGTTTTCATTGAGTAAAATATTAAATAACAATGCTCCTTATGAGTCATCTACCAAAAATGAGTCAAATTTCGCTTCAAAGCTTGCTTTGATTTATTCAAGAAATTGAAACACTCCCGTCATTAAGAGAAAAACTTTGTAAATTTCTTTAAAAATAAACCACCTCAAAAAACATTGAGCTGGTCAAATTACCATGCTTATCAACAAAGTCGTTGTTTTAAAACGATCCTCTCACTCAACAACTCTTCAAGACTTGAACTAAAAAACAAAACTTCAAACTAAAAAAAAAAGTAAAAAATCCCATCCGGGATCTTGAATGAGCGAGGTATTTTGGTGTCAACTTAAGTTGCCCAAGCCAAATGAAATAAATTGCCCTGCTTGTTGCGAGTTAGTATTTACTTTTCTCATTAAAATCTCTTATTCAGTATGAGATTCCAGAGCAAATGGGGCCATTAGGTAATTTGGCCCCACTTGTGTTATGGGTCAATTCAACAAAATACCCCTTCTTGTGTCGGATTCCAAATCCTGAACAAGGGCACTTCGGGCATTTCTAACAACACATTTGAGGAAATTATGGAGTAAAATGACATTAACATAATCACTTGGTTGATAAATGGTTGATTTGAACACCTTAGTTATTTTTTGAGGTAGTTTGACTATTTTAATAACGTTTTCATTTTCTCTTTTATCATAAGTTAAGGAGATAAGTTAATGACATCTTCAGTACAAAAACGATACACTATTGTGATTGGGTTCAAAACCAGGAGTTAACTGTAACATGATTTGGGGCCACTCCCAAAAGTGTGAACTCAATGATATGGATTGGAACTAAAAATGGACAATTGAGGGAGTTGGATTTGAGCTTCTCTCAAAGTATCTAAGGAGTCCCTTCTAACAAGAAGCCTAAGGAAAGAATTCAGGTCCTGGGCATAGAAAGGGTGGAGATAAGGCTAGTGCCGCAGCTTCTATGTATTATTGAATGACTATGTTACAAGGATGAGGCTATGAGAATCTTTGTCCAACTCAGATCTCACCTACTAATATTTTGCCAAGTCCGGTATGACACGTGTGCCCAGTATATTTATATGTAAACAATAAACATGGGGGTCCAAATCAAAGACATGTCCAAATCATGGACGTGCGCCCAATTGTGTGAACATACACACATCTTACAATGTGGATATGCTTTTCTTAGAGAATGGACAAGCATGTATTGTTTGCCTAATCCACCGCGGACTGGCACGTCCACACAGCCAGACACGGCATTTGCAAATCCAAAAAGAAAAAGAAACTAAGACTTGGAGTTCCTGTATTTGTACGTGTGTCATGGTGCTTGTCTAGTGTTTTTGTGTGTCAGACTCTCCCAGATGCACATTGCATGTGTGTTGTTAGGTAACTAAGTTGACAAATGAAGTCCATGTTCTCTAGTATTGTAATTCCCTAAATCTCTATTCCAAACACTAATAGAAATCTAACCATGTTTGCGGTTGATAGGATTCTAACTATATGTTCTACAAAGATGTTAGCGATGTTTGAGCAAGCTTCTAACAAGAAACCATCTCCAACATTGGTTGTTCTTTTTTTGTTTTTTTTTCTGAAAAAAAAGGGTCCAAAAGTGGGTCTTCATTTTCAGGATGTATGTTACATGGGTGAAGAATCTCAAAAAACAGTATGGATCAAGCATTTTCCTCTAAAAGCAAACATGGTGTAACAAGTCACATATTTCAGTAAATGAAACCACTATGAATTTCAGCTATAAACATTCAATTTTCCAATACGCACTCAGTTTCCTTGCGTTGGGCTTGCTCATAAAACCTAATGCGACATGTCATTTTTGTGTTGCTATCAACCAATTCCATATCTATTCATCCAAGGTAACAAAAGTAAATTAAACAAATGCACTGGTTTAGTCAAGAGATCACCATCAATAGTCCTAATTTCCATATAGAAATGACGAGAAAAGAAACCCACATGAAAAAATTAGCATTTTGCAGTATCAATTCCCTGTAATAACAAAGATATCTTAAGGACAACCATATATTACACAGCAAAAATGGTAAAGCAGCATTAGATTCAAAGTTGTGAAAGTCTCTCTCTCTCTAGAATGAGATAGAACATAGAACAATGCATTCAATTACTTTAAGACACCCAACTCGATAACATTTATTTAAGAAACCCAACTCGTAGAATGAGATAGAACAGCATAGAACAATGTACGCAAGTATTTTCAGAAACCCAACTCGAAAAGATTTACTTCAAGAAAACCAGCTCTAATAGAGAGAGAGTACCAACGCCATGGAGCCCATAGCAAACAGAGTGAGAAGTGATAAAATGGCCAGAGATTGAACCAGAGGGCAGGAGGGCTATCGATGCGATTCCTTCCATCTCCTTTGCGATCTCTCTCTCTCTCTCTCTCTCTCTCTCTCTCTCTCTAGTCCCATCCCATCTCTGGCGCTCTGTGAAGAACCCCAAATATGGAAAGGAAAGGCATACAACGAGACCATTTACTTTTGGTACTGCTATTTATTGTGAATTTTGTATGTATTCTAAAACATGCACTGACAGGATATCCACCTTTCGTTTATAAAATGGACTGTACAAAACAGAAGCAAGAAAAGACTATACTGTCTTCTAACACAGGTCGTAAACAAACCGTTCATTGAAGAATTGAACAGTAAAGATTATAGAGAGAAAGGAGGATAAACAACCCGAAAATGGCGAGGATAGAGAAAGATGGTCCCCTGAGCAGAAGTTTAGAGAGAGATTTTATAATGCCTTAACCGAGAAGAGGGGGGTGGGGGGAGAGAGAGAGCGACTGAGAGAGATTGTGATTACTTCAGCAACAGAGAGAGAGAGAGAGAGAGAGAGAGAGAGAAGAGAGAGAGAGAGAGAGAAGAGAGAGAGAGAGAGTA